CCAGAGTGGCCTTGACCTGGGTTTCGTCGGCCCTGATCATGCCAAACAGTTGCTCAATGCCCTGATCAGAACGCTGTTCCTTCCTTCCAACCAAAGGTGTCAATCAAAGACAACTGATACGTAGCAGCCCACGCCATCATGCCCTTACTGGGTGCCTGCTTCCATGTCTTCCAGGCCTGTTCAGCAATTTAAAGATGCGAGGCACTCGAACAAGCATGACAGTAGTAGCCTTCTTCGGAACAGAGATGGGTCTGCTGCTACCAGTAACCTGAGGCGCCAAAGCAGCATCTGAAGCAATGATGAATCGTGCCAGTGACGAAGCGACGCTGTCCAGAGATCTTTCCCGGAATGGAACGCTTGCCGTCCTTATCCTGGACGCCGGGCACACCCTGTAGGCCAGGGCAAGCGAGGCCGCGCCGTCGCACGACATCTAGCACGGGCAGGACCCAACGCCCTGGAACACCGGGTAGGTCAAAGAGAGCGTCTTGCAGTGCAGCCAACTGTGCTCCAGCCCACGTCGGACCTCCCACGAGTCCAAGCTGGCGCTGGCGCACATGTCCTCGAGCACCTTCGTGAGCCCGGAGAAGGACGCTCTCGTACGCAGAAAAGCAGAGGTCATGAAGGACAGGTAGCCCCGTGCAATGCCACCTTAGGCTGTTTCGAAGTGCACAGCAGCGAAAACAAAAGCAGGCCTTTGGTAGAGACCGGTCGCCTGTTTTAGCTCGAACTTGAAATCAAGACGGCGCAACTAGATTTAACACGCCGACGGTCCGATATATGTGGATCGACTCAGGAACTTACAAAGCTCTCATCTGCGCCCACGTATATATGCTCTGCGCTTCTGCGCGATACTCTAAGCAACTCGAACCCGGAGGTAGGAAGAACGAGCCGGATTAAGTGCAAAATTTCCCCGCCGCCAAAGCAGCCTGGCGGAGTTGGACGCGGAAGATGAACCACTTGGCGTCTTTCGGGTCGCATGCCAGATCAGGCAACTCGACCTCCGGAGGATATGCCCAGCAGCCGCGAAAAATGCGCCGGCAGCTGCTCACGTATAGAAGGTGATCAGCCCCCCCGCGTAGCAGATTTCCCGCAACCTTTGCGCGCGTGGCAGAGATTTGCAGCCCGACGTCCCCGCAGCAGGCATGGCAGTTGGCCAGGGGGGCTCACAGACACGTTCTCCGTCATCTAGCTAGATTGGAGACGGGAACTAGGATGTTCCGAACAAACAAGAGCTGCGGCAGATGCAGAGTGGCATACAACGACACGAGAAGCTCTGCAGATGGAAGATGAGGCAGCGGATCCTGGACGTTGCTGCTGCATGCCCGGAGCACGAGGTGTGTTTTCGATGGCAGCAGACAACACGCCCACTGCCCGTCCGCAAAAGAATTACGTCTTGCGCACCGCAAGATGCCAGGATGCATCGGCTCAAGCAGCGAGCGGTCTTTTGTGAGACAAACATTCAGAATTGCAGAGTCTGTCATGGCCCGTTGCACGCGGATGGCTTTGTACACATCCGAACGCAGCTTCGCGGGCAAAGCCACAACACATCAAATGGGGGCAGAGCGATACCAGGAGGTCCTTTTGGCTGAGGTTTAGGGTTCCGGGTTACTGCGAAAAACACAGCCAAAGGATTACGAGTAGGCCTGTGGGAACCCTACCGAAGGAGCTCGACAAGCAGGTTGATACGAAAACGCACGCAGGGTCATATTCTTACTGGACACAAGGTCGTTCGGTCCAAAACGACCTTGTGCCCAGTAAAAATATATTACCTTGTGCCCAATAACAATGTAACCTTTTGCCCAGTGAAAATAGGACCTTCGGGGTCGAAGGTCATTTCTTTTACTGGGCGCAAAGTCGTTTTGGATCGAACAACGTTGTGCCCAACAAAAATTGTGCCCAATAACCTCGAAAAGCCAAAAAAAGGGCCCACTGCATGGGGACGGGGATGACATCTTACTTCTCCAATAACCAAGGAAGAAAACTTGAACCTTATTATTGCTACCCAACAAGGAAGCCCGAAGAGTGTCAAATTTATCCATTGGCTGAGTAAGTAATTATGGGGTATCAGTGGGGTTCAGGTGCAAGGGTCGCAAAGCACTAAGGCCCACCAAAACCCTAAACCCACTGAAGCCCTACACAAGTTTGGCACTTTTTGAACCCTTTGAGCCAAATGTTAAGAAATCTCATGCTCTTAGTCTCAAATACGTGTTGAGGGTTTCATGTGTGTTGAGGGCAGCCCTTAACCCTAAGCCCTGAACCCTCAACCCTACTGAACTTTAAGGATTTCTGAACCCTAAGCCCTAAACGCTAAACCCTACCGCAATTTCAGGAACTCTGTTAAGGCCCTCACTCCCTCCAAGCTAAACCCTAAACCCTAAACCCCAAAACCCTAAGCCCTAAACCCTAAACCCTAACCCTAAACCCTAAAACCCTAAACCCTAAGCCCTAAACCTGAGGCGCCCGCATCCATAGCAAGGAATCCTCATCATCCAGGCCTCGCTACTTCTGCGCTACGGCCAACTCGGAGCTCCCAGTAAGGGTTGAGGGCTTCAAGGGGGTTAGGGTTTAGGGTTTAGGGTTTAGGGTTTAGGGTTTAGGGTTTAGGGTTTAGGGTTTAGGGTTTAGGGTTTAGGGTTTAGGGTTTAGGGTTTAGGGTTTGAGGTTTAGGGTTTAGAGTTTAGAGTTTAGGGTTTAGGGGTTTGGGGTTTGGGGTTTGGGGTCTAGGGTTTAGGGTTTAGGGTTTAGGGTTTATTTAAGGTTTAGGGCTTAGGGTTTAGGGTTTAGGGTTTCGGGTTTAGGGTTTCGGGCTTAGGGCCCCATGCCCTAAGAAAGCTTTGGAATTCATTCCATCGGTTCGGGTGCGAAGCACAAAGCTCTAAACCATCCCCCTAAACCCTAAACCCTAAACCCTAAACCCTAAACCCTACACCCTACACCCTAAACCCTAAACCCTAAACCCCAACACTTTTCCAGGATTCCGACACTGGCCGGCATCTGCCACCCGACGCGCGAGGTCCTGCTGCGGGGTCAACTTTAGACCCCTAAACCCTAAACCCTAAACTCTAAACCTTAAACCCAAAACCCTGAACCTTACACCCTAAACCCTAAACCCTAAACCCTAAACCCTAAACCCTAAACCCTAAACCCTAAACCCTAAACCCTAAACCCTAAACCCTAAACCCTAAACCCTAAACCCTACACTTCAAGTTCTAAACCCTTCAGAAACCCCTAAGTTATTCAGGCTTCAGCATGTGGGGGTGTCGGTTGGTTTGGGCGGGGGTCGGTTTTTGCAGGCCCTTTGGCCTCAGTGGATCCATTAGGGTTTAGGGTTTAGGGTTTGGGTTTAGGGGTTAGAATTCTGGGGCTTAGGACTTAGAACCCTAACCCCGCCTGCCTGTCTAGGGTATATGTATACAGGGGCCTTAAGAATGGGGGGTTGGTTAATTGCATGGAGGGACCAGAAGGAAATACTATTGGTGACCATTCCGCCAGGGTGGTGGTGCTGCAGGCGGGACAATCGCCTGCTGGGGAGACAGCAGGCGAATTCTTAGGCCCCCCCTCACTGGCAGCGCCAAGCCTTCAAAACGTCCCCTTGTCAACTGGGCGACTGCCTGGCAGCCTAAACCCTACAGCCTAAACCCTAAACCCTGAAGCCTAAACCCCTAAACCCTAAACCCTAAACCCTAAACCCCAAACCCTAAACCCTAAACTGCCTGGCAGACCAGTCCGACTTGGTCCTCCCAAGCCGCCTCGAAACGCACAAGGCTGGGCCACAGAGTCAAGGCTCCGGCCGAAACTGAAGAATTGTTTATTCTAATTCTATCCAAACTTGGGCCCTAAGCCCTAAACCCTAAACCCCAAACCCTAAACCCTAAACCCTAAACCCTAAACCCTAAACCCTAAAGCTCCGAGAGCGACCCCTCAAATCGGGGACAGACATCACGGCCTCATGAAGCTTCTGAAGTTTGTGAAGTTTCACTTGGTACCCCCAGCCTTACACCCCTGAAGCCGTGCAGGCCCCGTACTTGGAGGTTCATGGTACTTGTTAACCAAGTATAACTATACTTAGAACTGTACTTATACCCATGTTAGGGCACTTAAGGGGCTTATAAGTAGGTGATAAGTGCAGTTCTACTTGGCTAATAAGTACCATGAACCTCCAAGTACCAGGTATATCCTACGACCATCCCCACTGTGCTTCATGACCAGGTTCCTGGACTTCAGCAGGAGGTTTTAGGGTTCAAGGTTTCGGGTGTAAGTTTCAGGGCCTATTTAGGGTTTAGGGCTTAGAGTTTAGGGCCCCTGTTGGGGTTTAGATGGGGTTTAGGTTCAAGTTTTTATTTAGGGTTTAGGGTTTAGGGTTTAGGGTTTAGGGTTTAGGGTTTAGGGTTTAGGGTTTAGGGTTTAGGGTTTAGGGTTTAGGGTTTAGGGTTTAGGGTTTAGGGCCTACGCCGGGCTGGCTGAGCTTTGGAGGTGCAGGGCCCGGCCTGGTTGCTGCTTTGCAGCAGGCTCTCCTGAGGTGCGGCTTGCAGGGAAGAAGGTCATGGTGATACCATATCATCCCTAACCCCTAAACCCTAAACCCTAACCCCTAAACCCTAAACCCTAAACCCTAAACTCTAAACCCTAAACCCTAAATCCTAAACCCTAGCCCTAAACCCTCAACTCCAAATGACTCTGATAGCGATCACGATGGCAGTGGCGACAGGAAACGAATACAAAAAAATGGACGTGTCATTGCAACGATACGTATTCTGAGACTACGTACGATAGTTAGTAATACTACTTCAAAAATATCTGCATATGCATGTGTGTATATATATATAGTAAAGCTGTATATTTATAATATATATATATATATATATGTATACACATATCTGTATAGCAACTTAACGTGAATAAAAAAAAAAGCAACTGCTTGAGGCTTGGAGCTTGAGGCCCCTCGGATCGTGCCTTTTCATCGTTTACCCCCCAGCACTGGCGAGTCTAAGGGTGGGTGCTCACGGGCTAGTCAACAACCTGAGCAGACATTGCAGCAACACGTTGGCGCCGGCTTCTATGTCTTCGGGATGGGTGTATTCTTCAATGTTGTGGCTGATGCCGCGCACCGATGGGGTAAAAACCATGCTGGTTGGCGCATTCAGGCAGATGAGTCCGGCGTCGTGTCCGGCCCCAGAGGGCATGCGCCGGTTGCTGAAGCCCATTTCCGTGGCGACGGCCTCCACCATGTCGATCATGGCTGGCTCGAAGTTTGCAGGCTTGAAGCGTGCCAGGGATCGGGTGGAGTAGCTGACGCCTTCCGCTTCGGTGACGCGCTGGATGAGGTCCTGGGTGCGTTGTTCTGCTTCTTGTAGCAAGGCCTCTTGGCTGCACTCAGGAGGGTAGCTATAAATTAAACTTTTAGCTGCCTTAATAAGAAACCCAATAAACCCAAAAAAGGTAAGGATCTAAAGTTACAGTAAAGTACCACAAAGGGCCTCGTCGGTGTTGCGCAGATCGATGGTCATGACGGCTTTGTTGGCCACCACGCTGATCAGATTGGGGTGTAGAGTCAGGGAGCCCACGGTGCTGACCTAGTTCATTGTGGGCATAAGATTAAAAATGTAAATTGTTATTCCTGATTATTGGGTTTAAGTACCCTTAAAAATGTAAAATGTTCCCCAACTATGACAAAGTGACCTGATTGCCACCCATGTCTTTGGCAATTTGGCGCACGCCGGTGGCGATGGCCATGGCGGCGTAGCCCGCGTCCTTGCGCAGGCGCATGGGGGTGGTGCCCGCGTGGTTCGAGACGCCGGTGATGGTGAGCTCTTGCCAACTGATGCCTTGCACGCCGGTGACACAGCCGATGCGGATGCCTTCTTCTTCCAGAACCGGACCTTGTTCAATGTGTAGTTCCATAAAGGCTTTGACCGGAAAGCCGACTTCCTGATCACCTGCGTAGCCGATGCGGGTGAGTTCGTCGCCTACGGTCTTACCGTCGATGCCTTCAATGGCCAGGGCTGTTTCAAGGGGGAGGCCGCCCTGGAAGCACGTGCTGCCCATCATGTCGGGCTGAAAGCGTACGCCCTCCTCGTTGGTGAAGATGCCTCGGTAGCCCAGTAACCATATGATAATAAGGGTACCCTTTTTGGGGCTGGCTGCTTTATAAGGGGACCTTTGAACCAAAAGAAGGACAAAAGTGTACCACTGGGCTACCAAGATGCCCACGCAGAACGGATGTTCGGTCTGTAAGTTGGCGTCGTTGAGGACAGCCGCGACTTCCAAGGCGGCCAGCACACCCAGGTTCCCGTCGTAGAGGCCACCGGTGCCCACCGTGTCAATATGAGAGCCGCTCATGACGGGCGGGCCCTCTCTCTTGCCGGGTCGCACGCCGAAGATGTTGCCGATGCGATCCACCGTGACGCTGAGGCCCAGCTCACGCATCCAAGAGACCACCAGATCGCGACCTGCTTTATCCTTGGCTGCACTTAGGAGGGTAGCTGTTTTTTAAGCTTTTAGCTGCCTTCTTAAGAAACCCAAGAAACCCAAAAAGGCTCAGAATCTAAAGCCACAGTAAAGCACCACAGAGTGTCATCATCTGTCAGGGCCAGTCGGCAAACGCCGCCGCCGGCCAGAGCGCCGGCCTGGCCTAAGGCCTCGATACGACCGAGCAGGCGTTCCCGATCGATACGCAACTCAGACCCTGCCATGGCTAGCTCCTTATAGGGTTTAGGGTTTTAGGGTTTTAGGGGTTTAGGGTTTTTTGGGGGTTTAGGGGTTTTAGGGGTTTTAGGGGTTTAGGGGGTTTAGGGTTTACGGTTTAGGGTTTAGTGTTTTAAGGGCTTTTAGCCCATTCCTTTAAACCAAGCTCTTGCCGAATTGACATGGATTCCTGTTGCGGGGCGTTGACATATGGGGGGGTTTCCGAGACTTGGGGTGCCCTATTGATTTCCTTGCTTAAGGGAATCCCATATTTTGGGGTCTATATTAGGGTTTAGGGTTTAGGGTTTAGGGTAAACCCCCGTATATTGACATTTCCTGGTGGAGACGGAGAATACCCTGAACTAGATGGTGTACTAGAGAGCCCCCGAGATGGGAAGGTTTTTGGGAAGCCTCTAAACCCTAACTGAGTCCTGCAACTCATAAGCCCTGTGAACCCTTCATGGGGTTTAGGGTTTAGGTTTAAGGAACGTTTAGAGAATATTTCCTGGACCGAATAGAGGACCTTTTGCTTATGGGAAGGTGTCGTCATGCATTAAGCTGTTGGAAAGTATCTGGCCTTCACCCTGCACATCTATCTAAGGGCTCACCGTGGGCGACTGGGGGGGGGGGGGCTTCTGGCTTGTCGGGCTTTGAAGTGGGGGTTTTGTGGGGATGTTCCCTCTCATACTAACAGTCCTTAATCGGGATTCCTAGTTGTCCAGTAACCGGGAAAAATCAAAGGTCAACCTTTGGGATGATAAGGGGATTATACTACCCCAACAAGGTTAAAGGCTACCTACTCTACTACTAGGGGATTAGCATAGGGGGGAGAACAAATCCCCATTTAGGACAGACGAATCAACGAGGTGACCCCAACAAGGGGACAACTGGGTGCCAGTCACCCTAAACCCTAAACCCTAAACCCTAAACCCTAAACCCTAAACCCTAAACCCTAAACCCTAAACCCTAAAGCCAGTCAAACCCAACAGCCCTCGACTTTGGGGTGCTTCGAGCCTCGGTACTTCAGCCCAAACTATGTTTTTGGGTTTAGGTTTTAGGGTTTAGGGTTTTTTAGGGTTTAGGGTTTAGGGTTTAGGGTTTAGGGTTTAGGGTTTAGGCTTTAGGGTTTAGGGTTTAGGGTTTAGGTTTTAGGGTTTAAGGTTGAGGGTTGAGGGTTTATAGGGTTTAGGGTTTAGGGTGCAGGGGTTTACGGCATTTGTGCTGTTGAAGTCTGAACCCTAAACCTGGGACCGTTTGAAACAAAAAACACAAGCCTTAAGGTACTGTAAGGGCAATATTAGGAGTATAGTAAGGGGAGCCTTTAGGGTTAAAACCTTGGGGGTGCGAGTCAACCCTGAACCCAAACCCTAAACCCTAAACCCTAAACCCTAAACCCCAAACCCTAAACCCTAACCGAGTTGTAACCCCTTGGCATCCTGGGGGTCGGACGGCGGTGTCTTTGGCCTGCTTGGCCCTCAGCGCCTGGCGTTGGGCGCAGGGCTTGAGGTGCTTTGTGGGTCTCAAGGGCAAACCCGAAACCCTAAACCCTAAACCCTAAACCCCAAACCCTAAACCCGAAACCCTAAACCCTCAACCCCAAACCCCAAACCCCAAACCCTAAACCTTAAACCCGAAACCCTAAACCCTAAACCCCAAACGCCCAAACCCCAAACCCTAAACCCGAAACCCTAAACCGCAAACCCCAAACCCCAAACCCCAAATCCCTTCCTGAAATTGCAGTTCGATCGGAGTCGGCGCGCTTCACGCTCCGGTCCAGGGTTTAAGGTTTAAGGTTTAGGGTTTTGGGTTTAGGGTTTAGGGTTCAGGGTTGAATTGGGGCTTAGGGTTTAGGGTTTAGGGTTTAGGGTTTAGGGTTTAGGGTTTAGGGTTTAGGGTTTAGGGTTTAGGGTTTAGGGTTTAGGGTTTAGGGTTTAGGGTTTAGGGTTTAGGGTTTAGGGCTTAGACATTGCAGATTTGGGGCTTCGGGGCTTCGAGGGTTTTCGGAACTTAGGGTTTAGGATTTGAGGGTTTTTAGACCTTCAGGCTTAAGCCCAGAAAGCCCTAGACTCAGTAGCATCCCTATACCTACAAAAGGGTTTAGGGTTTTAGGGTTCAGGGTTTAGGGCTTTAGGCTTTAGGGTTTAGGGTTTAGGGTTTTAGGGTTTTAGGGTTTAGGGTTTAGGGTTGAGGATTGTCATGGTGCCCCGCCCCCCCCCCCCCCCCCCCTCCCCCCGGCTCCACAAGGGTCAGCTTCTGTCAGAAACGCATTCCGGGTTTTGGAATTCTTCGAACCGACAGAAATTTAAATCCCTAGCCCGACTACCTAAACCCCAGAAGCCTACAAACCCATAGAAACCACCTAGAACCCCCCTAAACCCTATACCCTAAAACACTCAACCCGATACCCCAAGCCCTAAACCCTAACCCCAAAGCCTAAACCCTAAACCCTAAACCCGAAACCCTATACCCCTAACCCTAAACCCTAAACCCCTAAATCCCTAAACCCTAAACCGAAAAGCCCTCAACCCTAAGCCTCCCGGAAAGACCCCAAAACCCAAACTCTATACCCATAAACCCTAGACCCCTGAACCTCAAACCCTGAACCCCGAAATCTTAAACCCTAACCCCTGAACCCCTGAACCCCCTGAACCCCTGAACCCCTAAACCCCTAAACCCCTAAACCCCTAAACCCCTAAACCCCTAAACCCCTAAACCCCTAAACCCCTAAACCCCTAAACCCCTAAACCCCTAAACCCCTAAACCCCTAAACCTAAACCCCTAAACCCCTAAACCCCTAAACCCCTAAACCCCTAAACCCCTAAACCCCTAAACCCCTAAACCCCTAAACCCCTAAACCCTAAACCCTAAACCCTAAACCCTAAACCCTAAGCCTCCCGGAAAGACCCCCAGGCGCGTCCTCGGCGAAGTCGCCCTTCGCCAGCGAGCGCCGCGCTGCGTGGCCGAGTTGGGTGCCGCTGAAGTTCGCCAACTCCGGGCCACCTTTTTGAGGGTTTAAATTTTGGGGTTTAGGGTTTAGGGTTTAGGGTTTTTGGTTTAGGGTTTAGGGTTGGGGGTATAGGGTTTAGGGTTTGGGGTCTAGGGTTTGGGGTTTAGGGCTTCGGGGTTTTCCGGGTTAGGGCTTGGGGTTTTGGGGTTTAGGCTTTCGGGCTTAGGGTTTGGGGTTCCATTGTCTCTAGAAGTTAGGGCTTGCGACTCAAGGAATTCGGGGTGCATCTTTTTCTTGGGATCCATATGAGTCAGGGTTGGGGTCCCTTGAGGCTTTAGGGGGCAGAGTGCCCCTCCACAATCGGAATGGCTATAGTTGAAGACTAGGTTTCCCTCCCCAGAAAACAGACGGACCCTTTCTCAGAAAAGGAATTGAAGCCTGAACATCCTAGAGCGCTACACACGAAACCCGAAACCCTAAACCTTAAACCCTAAACCCTAAACGCTAAACCCTAAACACCTCCTCTCCAATTCAGCAAATCTCAGGCGCCAGCTTTCATCAATGCGCTCCATGGCCCAAGCATCGCTGGAAGCAGCCCAGGAACTCCCACTTGGAGTTTAGGGTTTAGGGTTTGGGGTTTAGGGTTTAGGGTTTAGGGTTACCTAGAAGTAGGACTCTCGAAGTAGGGTAACTATGGCTAACACCCTGTTTAGGGTACTTACAACTCTACTTATGAGTACCCATGAACCTCCAAGCACATCCCTTAGCTAGGAGGACTATTCTTTACCGGTGGGTTTAGGGTTCAGGGTTTAGGGTCTGGGGTTTAGGGTATAGGGTTTAGGGTTTGGGTTTAAGTTCGGGGGTGTGCAGTTTTGGGGGCTTCGGGTTTAGGGGTTCTGGACTCCACTTCTCAACTCACACTCGCAATCCTAAGACGAGGGCTTCTAAGAGCTTAAGATAAGGGTTTATAAGGTTTTCTTAGGGCGCTTATTAATTAGGGCTTATAAGGGCTTGCTTACAAGGGTTCAGGGTTTAGGGCTTTGAGCTTAGAGAACGCAACGCGCGCAGCCAACAACAAAATCAGCAGCTGCCAACGCTTGACTCGAGCCGAACGCCAACAGCTTGGAGTGTGACGTGTCCTGAGGTTTGAGGCTTAGGGTTACCCTAAACCCTAAACCCTAAACCCTAAACCCCCAGGTTTGGGGAATGGCTTGGGGTTCCACTGGGCTGGCTAGGCCCGATGCGCCTTGGAGACCTGTACTGGGAGGTTCATGGGAAACTGTAAGTCTTTAGGGTTTAGGGTTTAGGGTTTAGGGTTCATGGTTGGGATCGTATGAAAAGTTTTAAACTATATTCCTTATTGGGTTTAAGTACCCTTACGAATGTAAAATGCCACCCAACTATGACCAAGAAGTGAGGTTATAAGTAGCAAGTAAGGCTGTAACCCATAGTGGCCGTACTTCGAACCTCTATTGACAAGCACACATGAAGCTTCTAGTACGTAGAGTTCCCTCGTCTCGCAAGTTCTACATTTGAGCCGCTTCTTTTCAGGCTCCTGACCAAGGAGCCATAACGTCTCACAACCGGCGCTCCCTTGCAGCGCAGGCTTCACTCAAACACCCTAAACCCTAAACCCTGAACCCTAAACCCTAATCCCTAAATCCCTAAATCCCTAAATCCCTAAATCCCTAAATCCCTAAATCCCTAAATCCCTAAACCCTAACCCCTAAACCCTAAACCCTAAACTCTCAATCGAAGATGTCGGAAGATGTCGGAAGATGTGGGAAGATGTGGCCCGGAAAGGCCGTCAGCCCACATGCAACTCTTGCATCATTCTGTCCATCTCAGCCTCCCCTTCGTCAACGCCACCTTCAGGTTCAGTTGACTGCAGGTGAGTCTGGGTAGAAACTTTCGACTTCATCCGTTCCTTTCTGCGCCGCTTTTGCTCAGCCCTGGAAAGGCGCCCTTTGTCCTCTTCGGCTTTGGGACTCGCCTCTGCCGGGGCGGGCTTCAAAATGTGGAGCCGGCGCTGGTCCCCAACTCCAGTTGACATGTGCGTCAAGTGGAATTCATTGGCCAGCTGGTGAAGTGCATATCGCTCCGTTGGACGCAGACCTTCGAAACTCAACTGCCTGCCTGGTGGCAGTGAAGCAAGCTGCTCGCGCCACTCGAGAAGCTTCGCTGGTGGTGGAGTTTCTCCACTGACCGCCTTTCGAAGCTGCACATCCTCGGGATGTGCATTCACTTCAGCGCGGCGGAGCTGTGTAGCTCCGTGTGCGAAGTTGCACTTGCTCCCGTTGCGACAATACCCACTACGGAGCCAGTACTCACACAAAACAGTCCGCCTGTTGTTCATGGCGCTGCTACGGAGGTGGCGAACTATAGAGACCCTGTGAGCCACCGCGACTTGGGAACCTGCAAAGTTCATGCCTGTATTCTGAACCTCGCGCCGCCCGCCCGAAGTATTTAGGGTTTAGGGCTTATAGGGCTTAGGGCTTAGGGTTTAGGGTTTAGGGTTTATATAGGGTTTAAGTTTAGGGTTTAGGGTTTGGGGTTTCTGGTGCGTCTTGGGACTGGACACCTTGACCACATGCGCGTGCGCGGCTGGGCCGAAAACCGCCGATTGTGCCTGAAGCTACTCATTGCTTAAGAGCCCCCCCAAAACACAAGAAGCATTCTTCCTTATAAGGGCAACATAGAGATGATTCTTTTTCATTCTTCTGGGATTCTTAAGCAAATAGTAGGGTCTTAAAACACCAGTACACGATAGTCCTGAACCCTAAAAACTCTAAGCCCTAAAGCCGAATTAGCGTTTAGGGGTCCTACACAAAACACTGTTATCCATCAATGAAAAGTACATTGTGTCTATCACAGTATAATACTAATAGGGGTTTCCAGGTTAAGAACTTAGGGGCTGCGCGCCTTTTTTTTTCACGCTGCCAGGGGGAGCCAGACGATTGCGAGCCTTGAGGAAGAGCTCTACGGCTGAGGATCTAGGGTTCAAAGTTATGAGGTTTGAGGCTTTAGGGTTTAGGGTTTAAGGTTCAGGGTTTAGGGTTTAGGCTCTATAGAAACCTTAATATTGTTAAACCCTACACGCCCGACAAGGCTTGAACCCAAGCCCTAGATACCCTGAAGCCCTAAATGCGAAGCCCGAAATCCCCAAATCCTGTAGACTATGTTTTTGGGTTTAGGGTTTAGGGTTGAGGGTTTAGGGTTTAGGGTTTAGGGTTCCCAGGGCAGCCCTTTTTTTGGTCAGGGTGTGAAGTCTGAAGGTGGATGTGCGGTAGGGACTCGGAACGACATGGAGCTGGAGGGACAAGGGTGTAGGGCATATCAGGGCATATGTTGGTACATGAGGGTATATAAGGGTATATAAGGGTATATAAGGGTATATCAGGGTATATAAGGGCATATAAGGGCATGTGAGGGTACATAAGGGTATATAAGGGTATATAAGGGTATATAAGGGTATATTGGGTATGTAAGGGTATAATGGAGTTGACCAACTTCTCAAGACAATTGTGCCAGAGTAGAACTTCTGCCATCAAAGCCACACTGGGCTCCGGAATTAAGGTGCAGGTGTCATCACTTTCTGGCTCGAAGAAGCTCCGCGACAAGCCAACTTTTCAAGACAATTGCGCCAGAGCGCACACGGAGCAACCTCCCAGCATCAGTCCAGTCTTGAAACACTTTTGCCTTCAAAGCCGCACTGGGCTCCGGAACACGGACCAAGGTGCAGGTGTCATCACTTTCTGGCTCAAAGAAGCTCCGCGACAAGCCAACTTTTCAAGACAATTGCGCCAGCGCGCACGGAGCAACCTCCCAGCATCAGTCCCGTCTTGAAACACTTTTGCCTTCAAAGCCGCACTGGGCTCCGGAACACGGACCAAGGTGCAGGTGTCATCACTTTCTGGCTCAAAGAAGCTCCGCGACAAGCCAACTTTTCAAGACAATTGCGCCAGCGCGCACGGAGCAACCTCCCAGCATCAGTCCCGTCTTGAAACACTTTTGCCTTCAAAGCCGCACTGGGCTCCGGAACACGGACCAAGGTGCAGGTGTCATCACTTTCTGGCTCAAAGAAGCTCCGCGACAAGCCAACTTTTCAAGACAATTGCGCCAGCGCGCACGGAGCAACCTCCCAGCATCAGTCCCGTCTTGAAACACTTTTGCCTTCAAAGCCGCACTGGGCTCCGGAACACGGACCAAGGTGCAGGTGTCATCACTTTCTGGCTCAAAGAAGCTCCGCGACAAGCCAACTTCTCAAGACAATTGCGCCAGCGCGCACGGAGCAACCTCCCAGCATCAGTCCCGTCTTGAAACACTTTTGCCTTCAAAGCCGCACTGGGCTCCGGAACACGGACCAAGGTGCAGGTGTCATCACTTTCTGGCTCAAAGAAGCTCCGCGACAAGCCAACTTTTCAAGACAATTGCGCCAGCGCGCACGGAGCAACCTCCCAGCATCAGTCCCGTCTTGAAACACTTTTGCCTTCAAAGCCGCACTGGGCTCCGGAACACGGACCAAGGTGCAGGTGTCATCACTTTCTGGCTCAAAGAAGCTCCGCGACAAGCCAACTTCTCAAGACAATTGCGCGTGCGAGGCGCCAGTCAGTCCGGTCTTGAAACTTAAACCCCAACCCGTGCAAGCGCTTCGTATGTTACAACCTCTCTACTTACAGCGAAACGGCCAAATGGGACTGGCTGGTGACTGGGGACCTAGGAAGCAGGGACGTGTTGACTATACGATCGGTTGTAGATTTATATTCCATGATTTAGTGTTGGGCCAGGCACAGGACTCCCCCGGTATGGTCCGAAATCCTAAACCCTAAACCCTAAACCCTAAACCCTAAACCCTAAACCCTAAACCCCAAGGCCTGAAGTCCCTCAAGCCATAAGCCCCTGAAAATGCCCTGAAGCCCCATACCGCTAAGCCCTGAACCCTAAACCCCAAGGCCAGAAGTCCCTCAAACCCTACACCCTAAACCCTAAACCCTAAACCCTAAACCCGAAACCCGAAACCCGAAACCTGGCGGTTGAACGGGCTTCGCTGCAAACGGGAGGCTGCTGCAGCCCGGGGCGCCGTTTTTTAGCTGCTCTTCCTCGGCGCGGTTTAGGGTTTAGGGTTTAGGGCTTAGGGTTTGGGTTTTGGGGTTTAGGGTTTCGGGTTTCGGGTTTAGGGTTTGGGGTTTGGGTTTTGGGGTTCGGGGTTTGGGGTTTAGGTTGGGGGGGGGTGGGGGCGAAGTCAGTCTCGGAAAGTTGGCTTGAAGGAACTCAAGTTGAGGAGATGAGGAGTCGGTGTACCCTAAACCCTAAACCCTAAATCCTAAACCCTAAATCCTAAACCCTAAATCCTAAACCCTAAACCCTAAATCCTAAACCCTAAATCCTAAACCCTAAACCCTAAGGCTTCAGGATTGGCTCCACAACACCGGCTGGGTTTAGGGTTTCGGGTTTAGGGTTTAGGGTTTAGGGTTTACGGTTTACACCCTTCTACAGGCGACCCTCTGGAGTTTTAGGGTTTTTGGCCCTTCGGGTTTTGGGGTTTTAGGGTTTCAGGGATTTAGGGTTTTAGGGTTTTGATGTTTTGGGAAGATTCTGGAGTTTGAGGGTTTTAGGGCTTCAGGGCTTCAGGGTTTAAGCGTCTTGGGGCTCGGTTTCAGGGCTCCAGGTCTTAGGGCTTCAGGGCTTGGAGGATTTCGGGTTATACTCTATTCCTGGAACTCCGATTACCGACCGTTTATTAGGGTTGGTAGTTGATAGGGTTTAGGGTTTAGGGTTTAGGGTTTAGGGTTTAGGGTTTAGGGTTTACGGTTTAGGGTTGAGGGTTTACGGTTTAGGGTTTAGGGTTTAGGGTTACCCCGCAAGGAGCAGGTATAACCCCGTGAAAACATGCAGGTAAGGAGAGTCCCAGGTTCAGGCCCTACACGAATCCTCCCCCTAAACCCTAAACCCTAAACCCTAAATCCTAAACCCTAAACCTTAAACCCTAAACCCTAAACCCTAAACCCTGAACCCTGAACCCTAAACCGTTCGCAGGCCACGAGCACAGATCCGGGCTCCTCTCCTCCGGAATGCCGTGCCTTGGGCCAACTCAGGGGGAGGTTTATGGGGGTTTGGGTTTAGGGTTTAGGGTTTAGGGTTTAGGATGCCTTGGGCCAATTCAGGGGGATTGCGGGTTTACAGGGTTTGAACCGTTCCTGCTTCCATACCCTACTATGATCGTTAAAGGGTGCGCTGCGGGGTGCTGGGTTACCCCCAAACCCTAAACCCTAAACCCTAACCTAAACCCTAAACCCTAAACCCTAAACCCTAAACCCTAAGCCCTAAGCCCTAAGCCCTAAACCCTAAACCCTAAACCCTAAACCCTAAACCCTAAACCCTAAACCCTAAACCCTAAACCCTTACCATATACGCTAAACCCTAAACCCTAAACCCCAAACCCTACACCCTAAACCCTAAACCCGAAACCCTAAACCCTAAACCCCAGACCCTAAACCCTAAACCCCAGACCCTAAACCCTAAACCCTAAACCCCAAACCCTAAACCCTAAACCCCAAACCCTATGTAAACCCCACCGCTCCCAGCGGCTTGACAAGGACCTCCGCCGTGGCGGCGCGCGCTGCCTCAGCGCGTAGGATGAGCACCTGGAGCTGTTTAGGGTTTAGGGTTTAGGGTTTAGGGTTTAGGGTTTAGGGTTTAGGGTTTAGGGTTTAGGGTTTAGGGTTTAGGGTATAGGGTTTAGGGTATAGGGTTTAAGGTTTAGGGCTTTGGGTTTAGGGTTCAGGATTTCGGGCTTAGGATTCAGGGTTCAGGGTTTTGAGGGTTCAGGGCTTGGGTTCAGGGTTCAGGGCTCAGGGTTTGTTGGGTTTGGGGTTTGGCAGTTCCCTGAATTATGGTACCTTTTGGGGTGCCCTGCAGATACGGTACCCTTTAAAACCCCCCCAAAATCAAAATGGGCCCTAATTCAGAGAACTACCCTTTTCTAAGGGTGTCTGAGGTGCGGGAGGGTTGGGTCGAGGCTTTGTCTCTGTAGAGGTTTAGGGATTTAGGGGGGGATACAAAAGGCTGAGGGAGAGATTTCAGAGGACTTTGTTGCTTACCCCCACCGATATACGGGACCCTTTAACGATATATAGATATATAGTCATGCAATGAAACCCTGCACCCTAAACCCTAAACCCTAATGGCCTTTGTGGTTTGGGCAAGGCAGCGTGAACGTTATCGTTTTGTTTCAGTTTCAGCTGAAGCCCTTGGGAAGGGAGGGGTTCTGCTCCAGTTTCAGGCTTTCGTGTCGTTGATGGGGTGGGTTCAGTTCTCGCATCAGGTTCAACTTCAATTTCAGCCGCTTTCTTTTGT